AGTGACCTTGCCAGACACATAACATGCCTCAAATTTGTGTTTTTCATCTATAAAATGAGGTTGCTGTGRGGAGTATGTGCAGTAAATGATGCAGACAATTTAGCATCATGTTTGAGTATTTCATGCCCAAACTCGGGAAAGTCCTGCCTATTCTATCTTTGAAGTATTGCATATCTAGAATGAACTATATTCACTACTTCTTGCTACCACCTCAGTGGAGACCATCATGTTCTATAGATGGTAGTTACTGTATAAACTCTTTTTCCCACTCCTGTCCTTCCTCTACTGTCAGTACAGAGCCCACAGTGAGTCTTTTAAATGCGTTTGGATCATAGCGAAACTCAAAGCCCCTGATGGCTTCCCATATCCCTCAAATCTGAAGTCCTTATCATTGGCTAGAATCCTGCATGATCTGATTCTGAACTATCTATGTAGTATTTTTTCTTCCCACTCCCCTGTTGTTCTCTGTTTTGGCTACTTTGTCCCTTTGCTATTTCTCAAACTGAGTATTTTTTTCTGCCTCAGCCTCTTTATACTTAATCTTCTCTTCTTCTGGAGAAATTTTCCCTTGGATCACTGCTTGGCTCCCTCTCATTTCCTTTGAATTTTTGCTCAAATGTTTTTTATCTTATACATTGCCTCTCCAACCTTCTATATATCCATGTTTGATGCATATACTAATATTAGTTCAAGCAATCAATGTCCTATCGATATTTAAGATCATCTGTAAATTATAATAATAATTTTAAAAGGCTAACATAAATTGAAATCTTGCTATGTGGCATGAATTTTGCTTTCCTTTGCTGGTAGCAATCCATCTTCTTTGTGTACCCTGTCACCTGCAATAGATCTTAGCTCACATGATGCCACATCCTTGCTTGGTCAAGCCAGAAGTGATTCTTCACTCCTCTGTGTTCCCTCAGTGATCAATTTATTCTATTCACTTTCTACTAATATTGTTTTATTAGAATCTTCTCTTAAATATAATAAGACATTTGACAGCAGAGACCATACCTACTGCAGCTTTGCATGATGCACAATCTGAGGAACAGTCTCTTATAATCTAATTCAGATATTTAGGAAAAGTTACATATTCCCTTTCAAGTTATGTATGTGAATTTATATTGTTAGATGAATGTTTACTTGGGATCATAAGGCCCAAAATCTCAGGGTATTTTAAAGACAAAATTAGGTAGAATAGAAAATAAAAGTATTTAACTTTTAAAGTCAACTTGTTTCATCATTAGACTACAAATGTAAGATCAAGTAGTGTAGAGTTATCTCTATGCTGTCACTATGACAAACTTGACATCTTCAGAGTGTTCTGGTAAGAAGTGGTTATTTCCTCTTAATTCTCTATGGTAATGCCACATCTCTTTACTTGTCTTCTCTTTGCTTTTTCCATATCATGGAAAAAGAAGGTATTTCTCCTACTCTGAGAGAATAAAACTTCTGAGTACTGCAGTCTCTTTTTTGGCTTTCAGAGTAGCTCTCTATTGAGGTGATTTTTTGTGGTGTTGGTACTTTTAGTCTCATTGTCTGGTGTGGCTCAGGCTTTTGAAAATAGTCCTCCTATTGATTTAATGAGGCAGATTTAGAGGGACAAGCTAATCTAATACAGTGTGTGTCTCTTTTGGTAAAACCAACAATACCCTGGATAGTTAGGTCCTTAAAGAAGATTTCTACTGGTTTTGATGGAGATTTCAGTTTTAGAAAGCCCCTACTTAGTAACAAATATTCCAGAGAGAGGATAAAGCTACCATCAGCTACATGGTTTATTTGAATTATGAAACTCAGAATTTGAAAAGTTCTGACACTTCAAAAAACTTAACTGAAGCTTTTTAAGTAGAAGCAAGGGCTGACTCTAGGAAGGGAACACAAAGAGAAAATGGGAGTGAAGAGGAAGCAGTTGCCAGTGAAAAATGTCCTTCCTCTGCTTCCACATGTGATAAGATGCTTCTATAGCAGAAAATGTGCTTGCCTTATTCTGTGTGGAGAGATTTCCATGGGCTTTTTGTCTACAAAATTGGGAATACAGCCCTGATATGGACTCTGCTTCAGTAGTCTTGGACTTCCTTCATTTGCTTCTCAGACATTTCCTGACTGACTTAGGGATGGAGTGGGGGTGTTGGTGGGAACAGAGCTAGAGGAAGAGTTGTCCATTGTGGTTCTGACACTATTTCATTTTCCAGCAATTAAAGCTCCAATACAAAACTTTCAGCTGCCTGCAATTTTTAAATTTTTATTATCATTGATTTAATTTTATTTATATTATTTATTTTGAAATAGTTATTGATTCCCAAGAATTTGCCAAAGTATTTCATAGATATTCCATATGAGTGTCACCCAATTTCAACCAATTGTATCATCATATGTAACTATAGTACATTTCCATTGGTATCACTGATCTTATTYATATTTCACTCATTTTTACATGCACTTTTGTATGTATGTGGGTATGTATGTCTATGCAGTTTTATCACATGTATAATAAGCTCATGTAACCATCACAGTCAAGATATAAATCTGTCCCATCATTATAAAGGAACTTCCTTTTATTTTCCTTTCTATATGCACTACCAGTAACTCCTGGTAACTACTGTTTTCCATCTCTACAATCTCATAACTTCAAAATGTTAATTAAATGCAACCTACAATCTTTAACCACTCCCTTACTTCTTTTTCCAAAGCATAGAGTTCATAAACTTAGGAAATTCTGTGTCTGCCAAATAACAAAAAATCTCAATTATATGAAGAACACCAACCTAAGTCCTTTCCCCCTTAACCCTTGAAATAGCCCTGTGAGGCAAGTGTCAATTACAACACAATCCTCCCATGCTTAAAAATGCTCTAATCGTTCCCTGTTTGACTTATAGGAGTCTGAAATTCTTACAATAACTAAAGCCTTCCTCCCACCACTCACATTTGTTCCACTCCATCTCTTACCAACCCTTGCTCCACTCTATCAGGAGTGGTCTCCATCTGTCCTTGAACCTGCCTGCTCAAGCTGCTTCCTGTCTCAGTGCCTTTGTATCTTCTGTTCCTCTGCCTAGAACACTGTAATCAGATCTTTCAATGGTTTTTGTTCTCTTGAAATCTCAACTCAAATTTTGTCTTCTTATACATATAAAGAAAAAATCCTAAGCAAAAAAAGCCCCGAACCAAACCAAAAAGTAAAAAAGCCTTTCATATAGGGTTGCCAGATTTAGCAAGTAAAAACTAAAATATCTAGTAAAATTGGATTTTGGATAAACAAAAATATAACAGTCTTGTAGCATAAATATGTTCCTTGCACTATTTGGGACATAGATTTACTAAACATTATCGTTTATCTGAAATTCAAATTTAATTGGGTGTCCCCCATTTTATCTAGCAACCTCTTCTCTATTACCACTCTGTTACACAGTTTTGTTGTCTCCCTGGGACTTTTCACTATTAGATATTCTGCTTGTTGTCTGACTCTGCCACTCCCCCCCCCACCTCAAATAAGCTCCACGTGAGTGAAACCTTGCTCTTGTTCACAACTGCATTTCCAGAGCCTATCTAGCACATAGAAAGTGCTCAGTAAATATCTGTTAATTATTTGTTAAGGGTAAGCAAAACAAAAGCCAAAAAAGCTTAGGTTGGTAGTACCTCTAGGGAATACTGCTACCCAGAGAGGAGACTACCATCAGTATGGCTGTGCCAAAGCATAAGAAACTCTTCCTTTGTTTTCCATATTTCGGGGTGCAGCAGTGAGGGGAAGATTCACTGTGTGCCTGCCTTACATAAGGGTCTCCTATCAGGTAGAATCAGGACCCTGGATGAGTAGGTTTAGGAGAAAGCAAAGTCTGAGTAAGTCAAAAAACCCTTTTCGATTTGTCTTGCAAGGAAGGAAATGAAGTAGTCTAAGAAAAATGAGCTTGAAAGAAAAGGAGGAGATTTCGTGTACCGAATAGGGTAAGAAGCCCTGTACATCCCTCCCATCTTTGTCCACCATAAACTCCCTGTAACTTTAAGGGCTGGCTTTATTGTCAGGCTCTGGAAGCTGCCTGATCCCCATCATAAGAGAAGTCGCCAATGCACATGCAAATGAAGAGCGTGAAAGGAATGAATGGGATAAAGCCAAGACAGACGAAATCAAACTCTCTTCTTGGACCCAGGGCAGACTGTGCGATCCGGCCGAGGTAGCCTTGTTCAGTCTTAGAATTCGGCAAGGTTCAGCACTCGGTGTGAACGCTTGGCGCCTCATGGGACCCGCCGGGGAAGCATAGACTCCACTCCGACGCACTTCAACGGACCCAGACCAGCACCCACTCATCCGGAGGCTGGCCCGGAGCAAGCTACGTGGGCAAAGTGGCCTGATCCTTGGAACCAAGCTGACTCTGGCCCTACCCATCTACCCAGGTCTTGCCTGCCCTCCCACCTAGGAGCTGGAGGATAGTGCTAGGGTGCTTAGCCAGGGGTGCTGGTCCCCTACATCTTCAGTCGGACGCGCCCCATTGTGTAAGCCGCGTGCGCGCCCAGTTTGGAGGCAGCCGCCCCCGCCACTGACAGGTGCTGCCCGGAGGGCGCCTGGGTTCTGTCCCTGGCGCAGCTGGAAGCGCACTCCCCGGTGCGGGCAGCTTTCCGAGCTCGGAGCCAGCGGGGATAAGGAGCCTGGGCGCGGCCTGGGGGACTTCAGTGGACTGGAGCCGCGGAGCTCAGAGCTAAAAACTTTGCAGGTGCAGCGGCCAGGATTCGGTGACAGCTCTAGTCCAACCCGGCAGGTGCAGGAGGAAGAGGCGGTGCCTCAGTCCCGCGGCGGGAGAGTCTCGGCGGCTGCATCTTTTCTCCGAGCTGGCCTGAAGCCTCTGGGCACTCCCGGTTTTTGCTGCTGCGCCCGCCGCCGCCGTCGCCACCACCATCGCCACCGCCACCGCCACCACCGCGGGGCTCCAGGAGGAGGCGCAGCCGAAGAGGGCGGAGGAGAAGCAGGAGGAGGAGGAGGAGGAGGGGAGAAGAGGTGTAGGGGGTGGAGGATGGAGTCCAGGGCTGCCACGGCGAGCGAGCCCGAGCCTGCTGCGGCGTCCTCCTCCTTCCATGCCAGGATCTGGAAGAACTTGCAGCTGGGAGTGGGCAAGAGCAAGGGCGGCGGAGGCGGGCGCTCAGGGGGACCCGAGCGCCGCACTGCGGACACCCCGTCGCCCTCCCCACCGCCCTCGAGGGGCACGAGGGACGTCCTGGCGGGTGTGGGTAGCACGGGCAGCAGGTGGAGCGGCTTTAAGAAGAGGAAGCAAGTGCTAGATCGGGTCTTCTCCTCCTCTCAGCCCAACCTGTGCTGCTCCTCACCAGAGCCCCTAGAGCCTGGCGGCGCTGGCAGGACAGAGCAGGGGTCCACACTACGCCGCCGGATCCGGGATCATCTGCTGCCGGCGGTAAAAGGGCCCGCGGCAGCCTCTGGAGCAGCCGGAGTGACGCCTCCTGGCGGACGATCCCCCGACTCAGCTCCTTCTTCTTCCTCTGCCTCATCTTCCCTGTCATCTTCTCCCCAGCCGCCCCCGAGGGGGGACCGAGTCCAAGATGAGGGTGCACGGCGTCGGGGTCCCGGAGTGCATTTGTGTCACCAGAAGAGCTCCTCTTTACCGGGCACTGCATGCCTGGAACAGCTGCTGGAGCCAACGCCGCCTCAAGCAAAGGCATCACAGAGGCCGGTGGAACCTAAGACCCAAGAGAAGGGCGAAGAGCAAGACAGCAGCCAGGTGAGTTCCGGGTGGTGCTTCGGGCCACGCCTCCAGCTTCAGGCAGTCACTACCCTGGAAGTTGGTTTGTGTGTTCTATTAAGTAGATGAAGCAGTGGAAAGAAAACATCTTCCTCATGGTTAGCAACAGTAAAGAGTTCTGATTTGCACCTTTACTTTTGATAGGAATGACACCTGTCGGCAGAAACAGTTTGGGTAACTTAATGAGGCGCCAATGAGAAGTTAGACAAAGCGGGTACTTGTTGGAATGCTCAGCCAAGTATCACCTTGGCAAAGGAAAAAACTAASAACAGCCAAAACTTAGGAAAAATTACAACCATGTATAATGTAGTGGCGGGCACATCATTTGAAGCAAATCAATGGCTAGCAGGAAGGAATAGAAAGAGAAGCGGCGAGGTGAAGTAATGGTGTAAATGAGGTCAGTGCTGGGGAATGCCTTATAGCAGAAGTCTGCTCATCACCGCCTCCTTTCCCCTCCCCCAGCTTTCCTTTCTTAAAACTTCCAATCGCAGGTGTACCACTGTTCCACAGGTGGATAGCGGTGAGCTTCTTATCCGATATAGTCAAATGGATATGTTCTTAAGACCCTTCCCAATTTTTAATAGTAATCGGAAGCACTTGCTTTGAAATATGCTGCTTTATTCAACGTGTTGACTCAGATAAGAGTAAAGCGAATTCTACTTGTAGGATCCATAAGGCATCCCACTGAGCAGCTGCTTTTACTCCCTGCATTTTAAAGAGGGATTGCTCTCTTTTTGTAAATGTTTATCATGTCATGTTAATGCTATAAAATGCTTCAGAAATTCCATTCTGCCAGAGACTTAGGTAGCTCTTTTCTTCCAATATATCTTAGTTTACGTAAATCCTCATTATTTGGGCTTCAAATAATTACTTTAGATGAATGACATATACATTAAAACTTTAATTAAAAACTRAGCCACAAAATATATCAGGCCATGTCTGAAGGGTAAGATATGGGAATAGATTTAATTGAAAATTTTATTGTTTACTGGTCATTTTATTAGTGAAGTTTCTGAAAATAAACCAGAAAACTAGCATATCTTATTGCTTCATAAACACAATTGCCTGTATTAAGCAAACACTTAAGTTCTTGGAAAAGTAAGAATAGATAGAGATAATATTTGTAAAAGACTAAATAAATTTATCTTTCATGTCATCTTGAAAGTGAACTTAATAGAACTCCTAGATTTGGTTTCAAAAGTAAGGTTTCAAAGGGATGTTTTAAATTCAGTATAGAGGAACACCATATAGTGTTTTTGAGCATTCATATAATTCTACTTTATAAGGATTTCAGAATTGGGGAACTGTTTTTACGTTTTGTTTTTTGTAACTTTTACTATCAAGGATAATAGAACAATAATAATTCAATTATTTTGGAAGGTATATATCATATTATAAGATGATATTACTAAATAATTTTGCGGTTCACTGAATTAATCTATTTTCAAAACCAAAATAGAGAATTATGAATTATTTTTAGGTTTCTTTTTACCAAAAAGTTTTCAGAAACTGTCCATGTTTATCTTCAAAATTACTACTATGAATTTTGTATACTGAAGCTCTGGACTCATTCTGTAGGAGATACTAAACTAGTATCGTGTGTACTTTCACCATGTGCCAGATTTCATCCTGAGTCCTGTGAGATAGAAGTTCTTGTTGTGGATCAGGAAGCCAATGCCCAAAGAAGTTAAATCTTTTCAGTATCACATGGTTAATAATGACTGAGAGGTCTCTATTCAAGTTAGTTTCCAGAATCATTTTCCATGATCACAGCTACCTTTGATGACTTTCAAAACTTAAGTTTTTGAGATAACTTTGTTTTAATGATTAAATTTGAAAGGTTACATGCATTCTAAAAAGTTTTCCCCATCACTGTATATAATCAGCTAATCAGATGGATTAGCTATATTAATTTCTAATTTGTTCTGAATGCATTATTGCACATCATATCACATTTAAAAGTGACATTGTTAATCATAATCTCTGTTTCTAAAGAAGCTTTTCATTATAAATAATCAGCATCTTAATGTAGATATAAGAGGGATTAAACTATCAGTGAAAAATAAACAGATAAAAGGTGGGATGTAGGCACAAAGAATAGAAAGCCCTGAAGAACTTGCCTGATGTCAGACACAGACCCAGGGAAGACACCAGTATTAGTCCAGCATCTGATGTTCATGGGGTCTTGTCCTCTGAGAAGTGAAGTTTTATGAATTATGAGTATAAATTTCATCAATGTAGAAGAGAGATTTCTTTGATCTTTAAATACCTTTTTTGTCCAACCCAAGGAGCCCAGCTCACCTTTAAATGGGGAAGAGGATGAAATATAATTGGAGTCTGAGCCTGGAGGAAAACTTACTAAGCTGCTCAGGAGTAGGCTTTTCTTTGCAGCACCTGCCCTTCCAAGCATCCTGCATATCTCAGGGGTTTTTCCTTGGTCTCCCAGCTTCTAGTCTCCAAGATACCTAGGCATGGGGAAGAGTTTAGAGAACATCCAGATTTGTTTTATTTATAGGTTACCAGCACAGATGGGTACACACAAAAGATAGTAAAAGCATTTACTACATCTTTAGATTGCCTTTATACAAAGTACTTTTTTTCGAGGCAGAAAGAAAATTCAATGCAAAAATAGGTCAACTATTGAATTTTCTCTGTTCTTTGCTTGATCCTGGCATTAGTCACGTTCTCCACCATGCTCCCCACCTCTCCACCCTCCAGCCCAGCATGAGGCCTCAACAACATATGTGCTGATACTCCAACACTGAGGAGAGAGTGAAGCAAAAGCAAAAAATTAGTTTGGACTGCCAGGGAAAGAGATTTGAAAGTCACTGAGGTACACTGGGTTAATGTGAATGAATTGTGTTAGTTCCCAGGACCCTGTCAGCCCTCTTGCTGTTACATACCTCTGAAACACAGTAACAGATTTGATAATGCCTTGCTGTTGGGGCATGTGCATTGTTTAAAACGTCCTGCTATAAGAATAAAGAAAAGAAAAGAAACCTCTTTCTTCCCACTGATTTTAGTTCACGTGTCGAGCCATATTGTCATAACAGATGCATTTCATTTTTGCAACACAGTTGGGAAAGATGCTTTCTCAATTTGTGTGCATATCAAAAATATGCCAATTTCATGTATTCTGTCTTGATGAGTTACTAAAATTATATTTCGCTAGAATCAGAAAGTCAGTATTTTGAGATTGTGAGAAATGAATGTGTTGCATTTTTCAATGTCTTAACAAAAGTATGTAGTCTTCATGAATGTTAAATTTTTATTGTTTTTTCTCTTCTAAGTAAATTTTATCAAAATTGCTTTCATAGGAGAAAATATACTTTTGAAAAGTGTTTATATTCAGTATTTGAAAGAAATGTTTTTGAAACATAGCAGGAGGGATATCCATTCATTGGGATATCCAATGACATCTCTAAGAGAGAATATCCAATGATATCTTAAGACATCTGTAAGAGAAAAATTTTTTTAAAGATTAAGTCTATATGTGAAGAACAACTTGCTTTACTAATTATCTATTCTTTTAAAGAATGCTGGCATTTAAAATTGTATATCCAAACATATGATTTGGGTTAATTTTTGCTATCTGTATTTCAGACATTTTAAATATTACTTCAAAGAACACAACTTCATCTTGGGGAAGGCACAGACATAAAAACATAATTCCTAATGTAAATGACAAAACCACTTAGAAATTTAATGATGTTCAAAGCAAGCCTCTAAAAGCAATTTTAATTAGCTTCATTTTATGAAAACAAACAGGGTCGGATATTGGTCTACCTTCAGAAATGACTTCCTTCAAATTCAAAGCAATGGAGGGCAGATAAGATGTCAGCACATTTGGAGCAGGTGTAAACTAGAATTGGAGGTGTGATAGCATTCTTGACTCAGTTTATTCCAAAGAAAGGGAGTAAACACAGTGAGAGGATTACTTTGGGGTGTACTATGTTCCTTTATCTTTTAATTGGTATCCTGCACATCTGGCAGATTTGAATAGAGGTAGGTAGTACTCTTGTATAAACAGAAGTGCTTTCATGTAGCTGGCGTGAGAGATTGGTTTGCAACATGTCAAGGACTTAACATTATTAGTTGCTCTTGTGGTTGTCAATATTGTTGAGCAGTGTATTGAAAGTTTTGTGATTGTAACATTACAAGTAAGTGGGTGGTTGAAAAAAATTAACAGGGAGCTTTGCCAGTCTTTTCATTTAATTCAAAATGTAAATAATTTTGTTTGTAGGGGTGGCAAACATAACCCAAGAGAAACCAAGGTAGTACTGTTAATACTACAACTTCATACAGTAATGAAAAAAATCTAGCATGACTTTTAGCAAATGTGTATGCATTATCATAGAAGAATGAATAAGTATTTTGAGAAAGAGAAGGGAAATTAATAGATTCATTAAAACATAGGACAAACTTTCTCTCTTGTCTTTGTTCACTTATTTGAAAATAATGAATGATTTCACAAAGAAAAGGCTAATAATAGGTCTTTGGTCCCCAAGGAAGGAAATCTGTAGTGTGACTTCTTTTGTATAGTGATCATTAAGACATTTGCTAATCCTAAACTGACAAAGAGTAAACAGTATGCCTAGGTAACTTTGTAAGCATCAAGGAGATCTGCAGATTAGGTTCCTGTGGTGTTTTTCTCCTTAATTCACGTATATTTAGAATATGAGAGCAGTTACATATTTTAGATAAGCAACAGTTAATTTTTTTGAAATCATAAACTCTTTATTTTGACTTTTTTTTTTTTTGCTACTGCAAAACTTACTAAAATTGCATATTTCCCTGCCTGAGTAAACTAAGTATAACAGAAGGATAGTTTTTGAATACTGGCTTTCAAGGGTCTGTTTAATGTCAGTGAAGGAGATAGTATCCTAGAACTTATTTTATATAAGCTTGCTTGTTTTCATAAAATTAGGGTAAATCATTCCTATGTATGAAATGCTTACATTTCTGTAAATCTAATTTTTGAATTAAAGGTAATGTGTTGGGCTGGGGATATAGCTCAGTGGTACAGTGCTTGCCTAGCATGTTTGAGGCACAGAGTTCAATCCTCAGCACCACAGAAAATAAATAAATAAAATATATTGTGCCCATCTACAACCCCTCCCAAAATATTTAAAAAATAAAGGTAACATGCTCCACATGTAATTTTTTACTTGGCCTTTACAGTCCTTGTGGAGTTTTGATTTGTTGGTATTATTGAACATACTATTGTTTCTACACATTAACTTTATGTGCCATTTTATTTTTTGCCACCATCAACCTTTTCTTCTAACTCACACTTCTTTTTATAAATCAGGTGTAGGAAGTGATTACTCTCCCCCAACAACTCAAAACTTTATCCAAATGTATTTTCTCTTGCAATGTGAACTGGTTTATTATCATTAGAAACTTTTTTTTCCCCCAGCAGAGTAATAGATCACATAGATTTCTCTAAAGTTTTCAAATATTTCTATTTAATTTAGTCTGAACACAACATGAAAAACTGTATTTTCAGTATCATGAGATTTTAAAATCTGGCATACTGCTCTCTTGAAAGAATGTTTTTCCTGAGAAATCTATTTTAATAGGTCCATTCTCTTGAGGCCTAGTTAGTATGAAAAATTACAACAGATGACAGATGAGGGGACCTTTGGACATTTTAAGATCATTGCATCATCCTAATTCCACTGGTTTTATTTAGAGAATCCCCTTTAGTGCTAGTAGTCAGAACCTATTTTGCTTGACTGAGTTACTGTAATTTGCCTACCAGCTCTGCTAGAGTAGAGTTTGGCAAGTCTTAGTACAAGTCTTAGACTTAGTGAATTGGTGCCTTAAAACAGTCCAGGAGAGCACTACTCAATGAATGGTTGCTAATGAATGAAGGGATGAATGGGCAGGTTGTTACTGCTCAGAGATAAGTTCTCTGGAAAAGCTTCAGAATCACTTTATGATTGTATAATGGAGTTCCTGCCTCTTTGATTCAAAGTCCTTTTCAACCTGTCAGATAAATTTGACATTCCCCCTTTTCCCCAGCTAGTGACTCTGCTTTTCCCTCCCTAGACTTTAATTCTGGTTCTTGTCTTCAGGCATGAAAGGAGCCTGAAGTGAGCTGCCATTTGTGCTCACTTGGAGGACAAAGGAGAAAATCCTATTTCTGAGGTCTTTGGCTCAGGGATACATTTCTTGGTGCTTGTATCTGAGCGGGTGCATTTGTTTTTGCACTCACGTCTCTTTGGTCTCTGATATTGCACTTGCACATCTGAATTCCTGATACCTTTGACTATTCCCACACGGACTCTGAGTCTTGAATTCTGCTTGGATCCTGCCTCAGGGTATCTTCCTGTGCTTCACTGATGCTTTTCCTTGCCTCAACCTCTTGACCTTAACATATTTCTACTGTATCCCATACTCATCATTTAAAAAAAGTCTCTTATGCTCTTTCTTCTCCCAGTCATAACTCAGATTGACACTCCAGTCTTGACCAAGAATCCCGTTCTCACTATCTTGATCCATTCTACTACCTCTTAAGTGCCAAGTAGGTGAAATAGATCTCTGACAGCTGGCCAGTTGATATTCACAGTGACTCCTATTTATTGCCCAGCCTAATGATAAAACACCCAAATCTGCCTCCAGAAAGTCTACATCACTGATCAATTGCATTTACTTCTGAAGGACATTTCTTTCCCTGGAGGACTGGACTACAGCTGATTTTTAATATTTAATTGTGTCTGTGTGCCAACTTCTTTGTAAAATTATATGTCTACTTTTTAACACAAACACCCTCCTTATTAATCTTGCCTGCTTTCTTCTTTCTACTTAGTTCTGTCTCCCCTCCTCTCTCCTTACAAGATTTTATTTTTGTAGCTAATCATTAAACACCCAGTGTTGTCTCGTATGCAGCACATACCTAGCCACATTTGGAAATGTAGCTAGTTAGAACTGAGAATGTGCTGTTAGTGTAAAATGGTATGTGCAATTAATTTTGGAAACATACAGAAAAGAATAACTTTTTATGGATTGCATATTTCAATAATATTTTGGATATGTTGTGTTAAATTAAATATAATATTAAAATGAATTTTGCCTGTCCTTTTTAATTTCCACTAAAGTGAGAACAATGAGCAAAGAGGGTTTGATGGGGCCATGGGGAACCAAGGAGTGCACACATCCTTGAGAGAGAATCTGTTCTTCACTTCTGCTGATTATTGCCACTCAGGAAAAGTAGCAACATTGATAGAGCTTCCAGACTTTAATATAAGTCAGAAACCCAGATTTTTGTGTATGTCGTCAGTCTTCAAATTTTGGCAGATAACTTAGATAATTTTTAAAATGTCACAGGCCAAATAAAATATATATCTGGGCTAAATTTCTCTGGAGTTCACCAGCCATGACCACATTGTTAAAATTAAATAGACTGATTTTTGCCATGAGTTCTCTGGAGTTCTCCAGCCATTAGCAATGAATGGGATGAAAATCAGAATGAAGTGGGTCGAAATGTGGAAAGGGAAATGTGGTCATAGGGAGGGTGGCTAATTAATTTGGTTATACACAGGGATAAAAGAAAGTGGTAGGGGAGAACAAAAGTGGGCCATGGGAAGGTTTGTTTATATGTTCTGTTTTATGGAGCTCACCTGATTGGGTTGATGAGACAGAACCTGTGGAGAAGAGGTTGAAGATGAACGAGAAGGTGATCACGGATGTGGTGAGCTCCCTAAGGACATGCGTTATAGAGTGTCCCGTAGACCAGTGTGAGGTCATCTTCCTTACCCTTAAGCCAGAAGTAACCTCCCTATTTCATTGCAACAGAAGGAGATGGTGTGGATTTGGATGCAGAAAAGTCTGTAGGTTTGGTGGCAGCAATTTGAGGATGTTTCACCTGATAGCCTCCGTCTTGTTTTGAAGTGTGATTAGGATTTGGATACAGGGAGATGGTGAAAGGATATTGCCAGCCAAGTGTCATGTATGTGCAAGAATGAAGGAGTCAATAGTGGGACAAAAGCCTAAGGTGTGGGAAGAAAGGTGAAAATGAAGTGTGATTATTGTGGGGGCTGAATGTGTTCTTAGACCAGAAGGAAATCCTGGGAGTGGCTGAGCTAGGGAGACAGCAGAGATTTGTGTGAACCTTTGGGGAAAGGGAGAGTGGAAAGAGATAATCACAGCATGTTTTCTCCTTTACTTATGTCTTTG